CCGCAGCCGCTACCCCAGCCGCAGCCGCCGCCGCCGCCAAGTGTACTCTGCATGGACTTTTGGCAGGGATTGTGGGGGGAGGCCGCATCGGGTTCGCTGCGCATGCTCCGAGTTTGGAAGCAGAGTGTGTTTTGTTTTGTTTTTTTTTCAAGGGATGGTGGAGGGGTGCCCTCATTGACTCGGGGTGGCTCCCAGTCTCATGGGGGACGGGGTGTATACTAATGAGGAACAGTGGTCAAGACTCCCTCCCCGCCCGCATGCCGTCCCGCTCACTCCCACCCGCCTTCCCAACGCATACTTAGCACCCGAGCCTGGCCCGAGCCGCAGCATATGCAGCAGTCGTCATTGGATGGGCAGCTACTGGGGGCCAATCCGCCTCCGCCTCCGACGCCCACCGCCGCCGCCGCCGCGCCGCCGCCGCCGCCGTTGTCCGCCGCCGCCGCCGCGCCGCCCGCCGCCGCCGTCTGCCGCCGCCGCCGCCGCGCCGCCCGCCGCCGCCGCCGCCGTCGCCCCCGCATCCGAATCGCCGCCGCCGCAGGCGCTGCCGCGACCAGTCACCGCCGCCGCCACCGCTGCCGCCGCCGTCGCCCCCGCCGCCGCCCCCGCCGCCACCACCGCCGCCGCCACCGCCGCCGCCACCGCCGCAGCCGCCGCAGCCTGCCACCGCCGCAGCAGCTGCAACCGCCGCCGCCGCCAAGTATACTTTGTATTGTTTTTGACACGGATGGTGGGGGAGGCAGCTTCGGGTTCGCTGCGCATGCTCCGAATTTGGAGGCAGAGTGTGATTTGCATTGTTTTTACAAAGGGATGGTGGGGGGGTGCCCGCATTGTTCTTGGTTGGCTCCCAGTCGCTTGGGGGAGGGGGTGTATACTAATAGGGAACAGTGATAAACCCCTCCCCGAAGGGGAGGAGGGGTTTTTGGAAGAGGAAAGAAGAATCCCATTAGACCACCTACGCCCTGAAGGCTGGTGGGATTAGGGCGACCCCCGCGTGGAGCCCGATTAGTTATAGCTTGGGCCATGGTGCTCTGCTCTTGTGGCGCTCGTGGGGTATTCAGGGCAGCCGTTCGACGCTTATGTGCCCCTCTTGGGGTTCTTTGGCTAATGCTAGAGCCACTTTGAGGCTTCAGAAGCCGATCGGAAACGAAACGGCGAGAAGGCAACCATCAATGAAACACATAGCTTGGGGGATTTAGGCCGCAGGGTGGGTATCGTTGGGAGGCTCAGTGGCCACGTAGGACCCCCTCAGGAGGAGGAGGAAGAGAAGGTGGAGGAGGAGGGGGAATCTTCGAGGACATCTTGGGCATCTTGGAGGCTTGCGAGCCTTGCTTTGGAGTTTCGGAGGGCATGGACGATGGGGCGTTGAGCTCACCCCTCAACCCATAGTTTAGACCCCCGGGGAGATGGCAAGGGAGAGGGGGACAGCCAATCACCGCACACACCGACCCCCCCACCACACACAGGAGGAGATCGGCGAACGTGTAGCAATTAAATGCACAGATACGGGTCGCTGTCTGACCCCCTGATTCCTCCACTTACATCCTCCCTCCATCCATGTTGCCCGTCTGGTTCCTTTTTCGGCTCCTCCTTCTTCGCCTCCCGCTGCTCCCCTTCGTCCTGGCCCTTCTGCTCCTCCTTGTCCTCTTTCTCACGTGGCCTCCTTCTTCTCGTCCTCGCTCCCTCCTGCTTTTGCTGCTCCTCCTCTCCCACCCCTGCTTCCGAGGATGTGGTGGAGGAGAAAGGCACACCTTGCCAGTTTTCGCACTTACATCCGTCTGGGCATGTTTCCGATCTTGCACTTCTGTGGAACCAGCGGCCAGCGCTGATTCCCCCGCACAGCCGCACCGAGGCACCACCGGCAACATCACCTCAAAACCCTAGGCATTCACCAGTGCGCTCCGCGGCCAATTGGCCCACCCCTTGATCACCAGCGTCGCATCGTGCGTGGAGGGCAGTAGCCGTCAGATCGTCTCCAACCGCAGCACCCCGGAGGAAGAGCGGTTTGGGCCCCAACTGTGTTCGGGGAGGATCGGCAGGGGAAAACGAGGAGGAACAGGAGGAAGTTCGAGACTGATCGAGGATTGCAGCATATACGCAGTGCATCTGCGAGAAGTTAGAAGCAGGAGAAGGAGGAGGAAGAGGAGGAAGAGGAGCAGGAGGAGCAGGAGCAGGAGAACGACGACGGGCACGAGGACGAAGAGTCGGAACGGCCTCAGAGGTTTCCCACATGGTCGCACTGGGGATAGGAGGAGGAGGAGGAGGAGGAGGAGGAGGAGGAGGAGGAGGAGGAGTAATTAGGGCCAGGGCGGCGCAAACGGCGAGGACCGCAGGTCTCCAGGACGAGGATGAGTGGGCGGAGCGAACCCGCCAGGAGGCATCCCACGCAGCTGCGCTGGGAACGCAAGGAGGATGAGGAGGTGGGAAAGAGATGGAGGACGAGGGGGATCCACAGAGGGAGGCGGGAAGGCGATCCAGACGCTCACCCAAGGTAAGCTTCCGCCAGGTCGCAACGCCTGGCCAGGCGGGCCCACGTGAGGCTCGTCATCGGCTGCCCTCGCGCGGGAGGGGACGAACCAGCTGCCGAGGCGGGCGCGCGCGGAGGACGAGGGGGAGGAGAAGGAGGCACGGAGCAGCCCCATAGGTTCCCCGCCTGGCCGCGCCGGGAAGACGAGGCGCAGGAGGAGGAGGAGGGACGGCCGACAGTCGACTTAGAGCTTGCTGGAGGCGCTGCAGGAAGAGGATCCGGAGGATATGAATAAAGCAAAAAAGGAGGAGGAGGAGGAGGAGGAGGAGGAGGAGGAGGAGGAAGAGGAGGAGGAGGAGGACTAGAGTAAATCCAGGGTGCATTAGCGAATATACGATGTTGCGGTGCACGCCTCCATGATTCCCTGCGAACCTTCCTTGGGGATGCGACGGCCCCATTGGCCTACCATTCAGGCGGTGACCGCCCTTTCGAAAAAGGATCTAGCCATTAGAAACTCAAAGAAGTAGGATCATCCATCCAATTCGCAAAAAGGTCGAGCGATCGCACAGTCTTGGCAAGGAATTGTGTCCATCTTTTCGTTCGCACAGTTTTCAACGCTTGGCATCAGAATGTGAGACTTTGTCCAGCCTGAACCCGATTTTGAAAAAGTGCTGCCTTCCGTTGCCGTGCGTGTCTGAAGTTCGCGATGGAAAGCCTCATGAGATCTGATACGAGGGGACACTAGCGAAAAGGACTGGCATCAGTCAGTGTCGTTGTGACGAACTGTCTAGTCGAATGCGCGCGGCGCAGAGGCGACAGCCAAAGTCTGACAAAGGAAGTGCTTTCCATCCGTGGAACTGGTGGATGTTTTGAAGACGCTTGCAGCGACTTCCAGCCGTGGCAATTGTCGGAACGGTGGATGGTAAGGCGCTGATGAGACAGCCACGATATCCGAAACCATGAACCCTCCATTCGCGCAGCCGTTGGACGCCTCTGGGACGAGTGAGCGCGGCGCCATGGCTGGAACCGCATTTTGAAGGCCCTCTTCCCGATATCCGCGCAACCGCTAGACATCTCAAGCTCCAGGGCCATGGGCGGTGCGGGAGTCTCCTGCGAACCGCCCAGCCCGCCCCCTTCGCCCCGGAGAGGGGGTTCCTCTGGAGGTGCGCCCCCCGACATGCGATGCCTTGTGTTTTTTAAAACTGCACGGCCCCCAGAAGTTCTGACTTTTGCCCCCGGGATGGAAAAAAAAACGGCCTGCCGCTCGTTTTTTTCACCCCGTGTGTTTTGTGTTTTTTTTTCGGGGCTCAAGAGACGGGTGTCAATATAAAAAGGAGCCAGTCAGAACGCCAGGTTTTGCAGGATTTTGCAGGGCCAGGGTCGCGCTGTTTTGGGGTTGGGCGCGTGATCCTGCAGGGTCCTGCAGGACCCTGCAAAGCCTGGCTGACCCGGGTCTGTATTGGCCCGGGCCAGTAAATCCCCGACCCAGGCAGGCTTTTCATCCCGGGTCTTTTTTTGACAACCCCGGAACCCAGCGAGGGCCAGGCCCCCTTTGCAAAGGCCGAGAATGGAGCGAAAAACCATCCTTCGGGATCTTTCGTCGATCTATAGGCATGCTTGAGTCTGCGTCTCCCTCGGCCCGTGAGGCCCTCTTTGAAGCCCTTCTGGAGCTGTCAGAGCATGTTTTTTTTGTTTTTTTCCCCCAACCAAGTTTACTTGCATGGAGGGGTGTCCTGAACCAGAAGCAAACCGCAAACGACATTGCACGTGCAGAGATCACGCACGTCGATAGGCATTTGCACGCCAGTATAGTATTCGTTTCAAGAGGGGCGAGGGGCAAATGGGGGGGGGGGGGGGGGGGGGGGGGGCAAACGCCATGCGAGCAAACTTGCCCGAATCTAGAAGTACACAGTCTAAAAGAATACAGGCTCTCGTGGGCGCACCCTCGGCCGTTTTGGGACCCTTTTGGGGGGTCTCTTGGGCCATCTTGGGGCGATCTTGGGGGCCTCTTGGGCCGCCATGGACACTGTGAAAGACCCAGGGTCGTATACCGCGGGTTCCAGACATGGCGCGTCGCCTTCGAGGATCGAAGGCGTTGGCAGCTCGTCCTCGGCGGAAAGGCAGCCGAACGGCGGTAGAGGCCGGCGGGAGTAACACGGGGCCAGCTCTGCCGGCCAGCGGAAGCAAGGCGGACGGCTAGAGGAAAGTGGCAAAAACAGAAGAAGAGCAGATGGCAAACGACAAGATTGTTGCTTCTGTTCGCCGCGCGCCCAAGATCGAAGAAGAACAGACACCATAAACACAAACTTTCGGCGTTCCGCGCGGACTTCTTGGATCCGCGCTGGGCCCCCCTGGCGGCACCTCCGGCGCCGCCCCTGGCGCGTTCCGCGCGCGAGGGAGGGGGGCCCAGCGCAGATCCAGGCAACCCGCGCGGAACGCCAAAAGTTTCTTGTTATGCCGTTTTGCCCTCTGCTGCACGAGAGAGACCCCCGGCCCAGAGATGCCTCCCCCCCCCGCCGCGGCGCCCCGCGCTGAGGGCCTCGCGACGCTGCCCCCCGGCTGGCACCCTGGCCCGCTGCCGCGCCCGCCGGCGTCGGTGGCGGAGGACCTCG